CGGATCCCGCCACAGGCCTGGTATTTTCTTTATACAGACCGCAAGAGCGCTTGCCCCGGCAAGGTGGTGGTGGACTAGAAAGGGACTATAATAGCATCTGCATGGGAGATTTGGTCTGGAAGCACACTTGTCGATGGGCCCCGGCTTTGCAGGGTCTCACCGACAGTGTGCCTGGTCAGTGTTTTTGGGTAGCGCGGACCTCGAAAACGGGCCGCTTCCTGAACCAGAATCTTGCAGAAAGCTAGCAGGAAAAACGAGTGCTGAACCTGCCTAAATAATCCTCAACACCTCAGCCCTCCATCTCAAGCTTTAATCCGTAGAATCCTTTCATGAAGGATCCGGCGATACTCTCTGTGAGAGCACGGACATCAATCGTCGTCCGCTGACCACATTGCCTGACCTTCAACGCCCGTCTCAAACTCCACAGACAGGATCAGTACTCCAACTCAAAGCCATTTGAGCTGGGCCAACATATTGGTATTCCCTCGCCCCTAAGCGAGGCTTGCGGCCTCCTGGGCCGCCGGATGAGACCGGCGGCGGCGGGGCAGACGGAGATCCAGGACTCTGTGCAAGGGACTTTGGGAGAGCACTGACAGTAGGGTTTAGGGACTTGGGGGTGGGTGGTAGGTGGTGGGTTGCTGTGGGAGGGCTCACAATCACAGTCGAAGAAGCTTGTCAACTGACGATCCAGGTGATCGGACAATATTGTACAACCGCATCGAACAGAGCCATACCATGGCTAGGATCGCATGGACGACGAGTCGCATACACGAATGAGCTACATGTATGGGGAGTCTTATCGGTTCCTTCGTTATTTTTGATCTTCAGTTTTCACTTTCCAGTGTGTCTACGGTGCAAGTTGGAGACATTCTGTGGGGAGGACACGAAGGGCAGACGTCATGCAGGGGGTCCCAGTGAGGACCTGTATGAACGCCTTTTCCCAGCCAGAAAGCAACGTGCCGTGCCTGTACACGTCCGAGGTCGTCACTTTCTCTCGATCACAAGTCATGGCACCATGGCTGAGATTGTGGCTTCCGGTACAGAGGTCGAGCTTCTAAGCGTTGCGTGCTGAGGCCGAGACGAAGACAGTGGTCTCTGACGAAGATGACGAACACGAGGAGACCATGGATGCCAAGAAGAAGGCCAGCCCAACTTTAGCCTCCCTTCTGATAGCATCGAAAACTCGCCTTTTTGCCTGGTTATCTAGTTGCCCTTCTTTTTTGATGAAATGCATTTTATGGCGGAGCCGTCATAGATCTTTCTGCAGGGATTCGAGTCCTGCAGCTGAGGCAGGCAGTACTAGAAAACGAGGAAGGGGGTTGACAGGACCAAACAAGTTCAGATTCTCAAGAAGAGGCTCTGTCAACATGGAGAGATGATTGCAGGTGCACATTCGCTGAGACGTCGACCCTGTACCTTTGCTGACAAAGAAAGTGTGATCAACTCCTCTGAATGTTGACTTCACATGGTCATGAACCCAGTCTTACATGTCTCCATGTGTAGGAGTGCTGATATAATGCTTCTATTGCTCACTCACAGAAGGCGACGGCATGTGGCATGTCGTTGTAACGAGGGGCATGTGACATGTGCTTCAACATCCAGCCCAGGGGCGATTCCTAAAGCAACTTGGACTGATTCTGGCGTCGCTGGTGACGGGGTTTCAGAGAATCCAAGGGACGTAAAAAAGGGCGAAGCCGGATCTGAGCTCTGAGCTCAGGAGGCTGAACCACCTCAAAGGCCATCGTTGGGTGTCCATGGCGGCTCAGCTGAGCATCTCGGGCGGTGTGTGAGGTGGGGGCGGGTGGGTCTAGCTGAAAGCTTGGCCGTGGACACCAGAAGCATACGTCGATGCACTTTTTTTCCTGTAGGTGCTTGCATGTGCTGAGGACTTGAGAGCAAAGAGGGTCAAGGGGGTCACAGCCTCCGTGACTAAGGACAGCTTGCAGCTCCTAGTAGAGTGCCGCCAGAGGGCCCCTCCATTTTGCGAAATGTCGGATGATCTGAAAGATTGCGCATCGAAAGACAAGACAATCTTGTTCAGTATTAGTGTCTGGTGCAGGAGGCATCGCAGTCCTATGCCAAACGGTCCTTCCGCAACATGCTGCAGGGAATCGAGGGCGAGGACCTTTCTGCCACAAAGGCATAGAACAAAGATAGCTATCCTGGCAGTGCGAGGCTAGCCTGCCCTGAAAGACCTTGTGGCATTTCTTGCAAGCTTGAAAAGCTGTGCAAACTATCTAGATCTCTGGGAGGAAGCATCGGTAGCTCGTAGGCGTTTGCACTGCAAAGCTGGGAAGCTTCAACCGAGTCCTCCGACTCCAGTCTTTTCTGCAGCCTACGTAACACAGCTGCCCGGTGACTGCGTCTGGCACGCAGCATATGAAGGAGTTGATTGGATGTAGCTTTCACATGTTTCTTGCAAGTTGAGATGTTTTGTGTAGCGCGCTTCCTTGGGAGAGGATGGCGAAACGAACCAGACCACGAACGAGGCCTTTCATGGCAATTCCCGTCCTGGTTTTAGAAGCAGGAAGCGCGCAAACGCAAAAGTAGCAAAGTTCGGCTGGAGGCGCCGCAGCTGGGCCGACAGGCCTTTGAGAGATGCTGGCAGGGGGCTTCGATGTTCAAGCCTACCAGCCAGGCATCGGTGACCTCCGAAGCTTTCCTTGGCGCTGTGGAGTCCAATCAGGCACCAGCAGCATTAATTACCACTCGCTTGAATTTGGAATGGATCCCGTGTGGCCACAGTTTCCGCAGTACATGGCCAGTCAGCGTGAACGCGGTGCTTTTGCTCTCTGCGTTGACCAGAGCCATGAAGTGAAGATGCGGGTTCGCCAGTGCTGAAAGCGACTCTTGAGGACAGCGGCGTTGCCAGAGAAGATTCCGAAATCTACGAGGACTCTCAGTCAGCAGATGTGACACAGGAGCTCCCGCAGCAGTCGAGCTCCCGTGGCACAGGTCAGCTTGCGGGGTGCAGCTTCCGACTTTGGCTTGGTGGAGGCCCAGAATCTAGGATGCGTCATATCATGTCGCATCCGTCGCGGCCTTTGAACGCGGCAGGTGTCCGTGGACCCAAGCCCAGGCACTTGGGAGCCTTCGTCGGTCCAGCCCTGAGCTATCCTGAGCTCGTGGAAGTCAAATCTTCTGAGATTCTCAACGGCAGGATCACTGAACCACGTCTAATTGAAACGCACTGCCTGCACTTGGATTATGCCAGAGGCATGGCAGGAGATGTACCAGGCTCGAAAGACGAGCTACGATTCATCGGAGTTCTGTGGCAGAGCACGTCCTTTCTTTTTTTTGGGGGTTTTTGTTGCCTAGGTTCGGAACCCAGCAAGAGACGAAAGCTTCTGCGCAACTCGGGAGGATGCTCAGTTGGTGCACTACTATTCCCGTACTCATGGGAAGACGTGCGGGGCTCGGGGTGGGTCTGAAAGCGCGACGCCACACTCAACGCCTTGAAGCGTTTTGAAGTTTCTTGCATTCGACTCCTGCATACTCCTGCTTACTGTTTTTCACAGAGTGCGCTGAGCTGGGGGGCAGAGTTTTGCGCCGTGTTGTTTTAGTTCGCTCGAAGCCGAGGCTGCTGGGCTTCGTCCAGGGTTCGGGCCAGTTCATCGGGACGGATGCGGACGAGCTCCTCGGCCCAGACAAAGAGAGTCCCACCAAGTTGTGCGTGTAAGTGGCTACTTTTCGATTGCTATGGAAGTCCGCTTTTCCCTATGCTGCTCGGCTGTTCTTGTGCTTTGTTTCATTTTTTTCCCGCAGTTTTCGTGCATGCATCGTTACTGCAAGATCGGCTCAGTTCCTCGTTGAGCGTGTGTGCATTGCACAAGCCCTGGCCTCCACGGCTTACTTGTCACATGCTCTGCAGGCTGCCACGCTACAACTGCTCCATCGGTGTGCGAAGGCAACTTCGCAGGACCTGGATCCAAGACCAGCCCACCTACATGAATTGCGTCGAGCATCAAACATGAAAGCTATTGTGCTACGATGTCCAGCTTATCGTCGACAAAAGCGTTCGTCAGCAACTCTGAAGGCCCCGACACTAACTGCTACTAGCTACCCGTTACAAACCACCAGCTAGTCACGCACTGCAAACTATGAACTTCGAACTACCACCAGCAACTGCTGACTAATGATTCCGTACTACGCACTACTTGCTACTTGCGACTTCGTAAGCTTACTTCATATTGCTTGCTACTTGCTACTTACAGCTTACAGTTGGCTACTTATTACGTGCCGCTCATTACCTTCTAGCTACCTAGCAGCTAGTTGTTTGTTTCGTGCTACCAGTTTCTGGTTTCTGGTCAATACTTGCTGGCTACCTCCTGTTGCTGACAACCAGCCTCCAGCTACTACCCACCACCCACTCCCCATTGCCACTACTTACTACGACGACCACAACGAGGACGACGACGACGACGACGACGACGACGACGACGACGCTGGCTACCTCGTCGTGCTGCTGCTGCTGCTGCTACTGCTACTGCCACTCCTACTACTCCTACTGCTCTACTAACCACCGTACCGACTATACTACTATGACGACTACGACTACGACGACGGCGACGGCGGCGACGACGACGACTACTGCTACTACAACAACTACAACAACAACAACTACTACTACTGCTACTACTACTACTACTACTGCTGCTGCTGCTTCTGCTGCTGCTGCTGCTGCTGCTGCTGCTGCTGCTAGTATTGCTGCCACTACCACTGCCACACTGCTGCCGCTTGCGCTGGCACTACAGTCACACAGTCACGCGAATAGAAAGACTGAGCATGCGAAACTACAAGAAGAGAAGGACAATTGTTGCCCGTGATTGGCCATCACCGGGCTCTGAGACGGAGACAGGCTTTAAATTGGGATTCACTGCCAGGATGGTCCCGCTGACAGACCTCCGCCCGCCGTTCAGAGGCAGGGGCCACATGCCTGTACCCTGTACACATCAGACGCAGGCCGACAAATGCATACTAGTGTGTTCACTTTTGAAATTTGGGGCGACATTCGATAGCACAGCAACCAGAAGACGGAGCAAGTTCGTGCCAGAAGAGAGACATTGTAAACGAAGCAGGGCTTCATCCAACACCAGCCCCGGAACTCGCAAATGCCGGGAAGGCCTGGCCTTGCACCCACTTCTTTACATCATTTCGAGACACAAACACTTTGAGCAACAGCAGCAAAGGTGTCCCAGACTCCTGCGGGCTTGTTGCAGCTGTCTCTGCACCTCGTGAGCCGAGAAAGGTCATGCCGAACTTGGCCAAAACACTGCGACGTGCCTGTCAAGCGAGTCCCATTGCCATGCACCTGTGCAAGACCCGAGACGCTGGAGTGCCAAAGCCTGTGGCGAGCATTCGTGCCGAAAGACAGTTGTCCGGAAGTAGAAGCCTTTAAGACCCCGTCCCTTGGGGCCCTAGTGTGTTGGCAAAGCTCGTGGTCCCGGGATGTTGATGGCGAAGGGGTGTGCCGATGCGTCCGTGGACACCCTCAAACACAGATATGGAGAAACCCCGACTCTACCTTCGAGCAATCGAGGGTCGAAATACAGCTTGAGCTGCGCTCAAGTCGCGAAACCTGCGCTCTGCGGCACGGCCCACAGAAAGCAGCAGATGGAGGATGCTGCTGTTTGCAGCAGCTGGAGGGAGCAAAGGACCTGCTTTGGGTGTGTGTGGCTGCTCACAAGTCACGGAGACCACCCTCTTCAGCGATGCATGCTGAGACTTTGGAGACCACGACCCGGGTTGCGATCCGAACATGGACAACAGCACCTTGACCTCGGCGCTGTGTGTCGCAGCTTGAGATGGCCTCTTTGTGTGCGTTGGGTAGGTTGGAAACAGTGCTTGAATCGAAAGCTGGCCTGGACCGAGCTGAAAGATTTGGACACCTCCCGGATTGCGATAGACTCGGCAAGTTCCCATGATTGACTGCGGCAGGTGGCGATCCCGTCATGGTTTTTCTGGTGCCTTGGCCGAAGTAGACTGGGGGAGGCCAATCCTTTCTTCTTTGCAGGCTGCTTGGCTGCTTTGGCGGTTTGAAGTATCGCAGCCCGTGTGTAATCTTAGGAGGATGAGAGGACGGGGCTGCTTTACGTCCGAGTTCGAGGTTTGACTCGAGCCTGAACTGGAAGAGCGGACAGGACCTGGCATCCTGGAGTCATAGCAGCGACGCCTGCCCTCGCCCTCCACCATGCAGCGAAGTTCCAGGTTTGGACCTGCAGAGCAAAGACTCGTGAATTTGTGTAAGTCTATTCAGCTGCTCCCCACCAGTGCAACACCAGCGAAGTGGGAACCGCAGCAGGTTTCAGTCCTGGACATGGACGCGTCGGGTGCCCTGCTGCGGGGCCCGCGCCCAGGCTTCTGCTTTGCAACGGGGCGATTGGAGCGATGCCTGCGCCTTGTTCGGATTGAGCAGGCTCCGGTCTGCTCCTCACAGACGTTCCCTTCGAAAGGACTTCCTCTCTTCCTCTCTTTCATTGCTGAGACACGCCTGGAAGCCCCGAGGATCCGGCATCGCTTCCCGAGCCTCGGTCGAAGAGCGGGCTCCGTTTTGTGCCCTTGGGCAGCTTGCGCCCTGCGGATCCCTGCGCCCGAGAACGTGAGATGTTTCTGAGGAAGGGCCACAGAATCCGGGCCTACAGAGGCGGCGACTGAGCTACTGCTTCGTCACCGGGTTTTCGCAAGCAGGAAGGCAAGTGAAACTGAAACCTCCCAGAAGTACCATGTCCGCTGCCAAGCTTGGCTTGAACTTGAACCGTGTTGCGAGGCATGAAGTCGGTATCGAGAAAGACACTCTGTTTACTTTCCGCAGAAGCATGGATCTCAATTTAGGTCTGAGGACTTTCAGTCTGAGTTATAGTCTTCTGAGAAGGCTAAAGGTATTGGTGTGCACCAGGAGGCACTGAGGTTCGGCATAGGCAGACAGGGCTGCCATGGCTCGCCATACCGTGCTTCTATTGGCATGTACTGCATGGTCGACGTTGGCGGAGAAGTGCGATGACTTCCGCTGTCCCAGCGGTTCCGAGCCCAGACAAGGTGAGGAGGGCCGAACGCCGGAAGAGTGCTGCCATCGCCAGTGCAGCAGCTTCAGTTGTCCATCACACTCGGGCTTCGTGTCCATCAACAATGTGTCTGCAGCCGGACTCACGACCGCGTCCTGCTGCAGAAAACTTCCCTCCTGCACCGCAAACTCCCGATACGTGCCACTGAGCAGTCCCAGCTTGGATGGAGGGCGGGCGAAGGTTGCGGCCTCGTCCATCGAATGTGCGGAGCGGTGCCAGGCCACTACTGGATGCGTTGGATTTACCTGGTTGTCCGACTCCAGCTGTCACCTGGCGGGTGCCAATGCAACGTTGCGCTTCATGCCCGGTGGAGTCAGTGGCAACACGACCTGCCACTCCTTGCGGCCGCACCTGCAACGGAAAGAAGACGTCAAAGTCCATGAATTCTGTCAGCGGCAACCAGGGAGGTGCACCGGCAAGGTGCACCAGCTCTTTTCCCAAGCGAGCCCACAGATCCTGTCAAGCGGCAGACTCTTGTCAACACTGGTGGGTTTGCACGCGGTTCTTTTGAGTCGCTGTAGTTCCCCTCTATCCTGGTCAGGCAGCAGCTCGGCGCAGCTGGATCTGGCAGGCTGGATGTATCAGAGTCAGCTTTTGCAGCTGACGGCAGTCCGCAGTCGCTCCGCAAGGTGTTGCAGTGGTGGACTGGGATGCCGATGGTCGTCTCGATGTGGTAGCTGAGTGAAGAAGAAAGCCAGGAGAGCGCATCAGAAGGCATGACTATGCATGACTGGTAGGCCTTGTAGGGGTGAATTGCTTCAGGACGCTCCAGGCCCTAGGCTCTGAAGTATTATTCTTGAGGGCAGGCACCAAATTTGGATTCTGCAGACTCCTAGGCAGCTTCAAAAGGGACACCTTGGCACGTCACCAGGTGCGCCCAATACGCTCCGACCCAGCAAAGCTCTAGAAAGCGACGCAAAGACAGTCCTCAAACTCACGAGTGCTCTGAGTACACGTGGAATCCAAGGTGACTTCTCATGGAAGTGGGCGCTTGGGCCTCTTCTTGCAAGGCTCGGATGGGAAGTTTTCTGCTTCCACGGACAACCCCTTCCGCTCCAAGTCTCAATAAGACTCTTGCCCATGCTCTGAGCTTGACTTCAAGTCCGGTCGCATCTCTCTCCCGCGGTCGGAGTTGCGAGTGGTGAGCTGAAGTGTCAAGAAGCCGAGGTTCCATCGAGGTCGGAGAGTCTGCGAAGCCCACGGTCTTTGATTGGGACGGCGATGGGGAGCTGGATGTCTTGGTGGGCAATGCAGACGGGGATCTCAAGTTCCTGAAGCTCGGTGCACTCATACCGTAGTGGCTCGCCAGCATCGTTTTGGTTTGGATGATTTCCAAAGCCTGAGGAAAGGTTCGGGAGATGGTGCGGTGGCCATGACCTGGAATTGGTACCCATTCAGCACTCTGACAACCCTTGGTCGCACGGCACCTGCCATAGCAGACTTCACGGACGATGGGCATCCAGATTTGGTCCTGGGTCACGGATGTCAGCTGGATGTGCAACATGGTGCTGAGAAAGGAGGGAGATACGACGGAGAGATACGACGATATGTAACGAGATATCAATGCGCGTCGCAGCACTGCAGGTACCTCGGACAAGGCAATCACTCCCTTGCACTCGCGGCGTCTCACGACTTCGCGTCCTCGGGCTCCTCGGGCTCCTGTGCCATTGTCCCGACAGTGTGGGACTGGGACGGCGACGGGATGAAGGAAGTGATTGTTGGGGACCAGGCTGGAAAATTCAATCTCTGCCGGCTCATCAACGGTCGCTTAGCCCAAGCAATGCCAAGCAATGTAGTGGGACCCATCGGAGGGCTCGGCGCCGGAAGTTAGAAGCAGTTCCGTGTTCCACCCTGAACGATCCAAGGAACCACACTCATTTGCGAGGCTTTGGAGGGCTACGGCGTCGGCGAGATGGCGTCGCCCTCTGCGTGTGACTGGGACTCTGACGGAGTTCCAGACCTCATCGTCCAGAGCGGCAGCCTCCAGGACCTGGCCTGGTTTCGCAGAGGCCCCAGACCGGACGTCTTGGAGGTTCCCGAAGAACCCGCGCTGTTTGGCTTTGACGTGGGTGAGTCGGCCGTGCCTGTCTTGGTGGATTGGGACCTGGATGGAGATCTCGATCTGATAGTCGGAAGCGCTGATGGAAGGTTGTGGTTTTTTCCCCAAGAGAACGGCGAGTTCGTATCCTCAAATCAGCGCGACGGGCCCTTCGCCAGCGTGGATGCCGGGACCCAAGCATCGGACAGGAGACATGCCGTTCGTGTGCCATTGAGTTGCAGCTGAGGTCGGGTCACACTGTGCGCCTGCAGCAGTCGACTGGGATTCGGATGGGTTTCCAGCCGCTCGGCACGTCTTGCAGAATATCTGGCGGTTGTGCTGCAGAGCCCGCAGGGTCGCAAGAGTCGCAAGACAGTCTTCCAGAAGTGCAAGGAAGGCATGTCACAAGCGACCAGAAGATCCGAACAGTGTGGAAAGCAAGGCACAACAGACAGAACAGGAATCCACGGCCCTAAACCCCAAACCATCCTAAACCCTTGCTGGTGACTCAGGAGAAGCAATAAGACTAACTGGCTAACCTAAGCCGTACGTCTAAACCTAAACCCTAACAAACCCCAACCTAGGATCTCATCCTCGGCAGCGGTCAGGGACGACTGACCCTGCTGCGTGGAGGCAGTGCCGAGCCGCTGCTGGAGGCCGGTTGCTCACAAAACAAGAGCTTGAGACAGAACCATGATAGGAAATTAGGAACTGCGAGAAGCATTCCAGAACAGCGATACGAGAAGCATTCCAGAACAGCGATACGAGAAGCATTCCAGCCTCCACAAAACAAGGGTTCTTCCAGAAATCTCCTTTGGGGTTCTTTCAGGGATCTCCTTTGGGGTTCTTTCAGGGATCTCCTTTGGGGTTCTTTCAGGGATCTCCTTTGAGGTTCTTTCAGGGATCTACTCTTCGTCAAATTCTTCAGGGGCAGCAACTTTTTGCTTCCGTGGACCTGAAGACGCGGGTGCAGCCGGCCGTGGTAGACTGGGACAGCGATGGCCACCAAGCTGCGTGTGGCTTCGTCAGGTCCACACGTGCTTTCTCTGTCAAGTCAACACAGTGGCAGACGTATGGAGACAGTGGATGCGACTGCAGGTATAAAGCACTGGCCATCCAAGGAGATCTGGACCTTCTCCTCCTTGCCGGTGGTCGGATCCAATATTTCAGAAACGAGCACGGCCGTTTTGTGCAGGCAGTTATGGGCTTCGCGTCATTTCGTGTCTTCGGAAGGCTCTTGCAGACTCTAGGCAGCCTCGAGTAGCTTCGACTGCACCCAAAACGGAGGGCAAGCAAACGTTCGGGGTCCCTCCTCGCACGGCAGTATCGTGATGCCTGACAAGCAAGCTTTGAAGCCGAGCTGGCGAACACTGAAACTCAACAAGAAGACGTGCCTAGCGATGCACGGCAAGACGGACCAGTGATGCAAAGAGGTGTGAATCGATGTTCCATTGGCAGAAACCATGTGCCTGTGAGGAAGAACTCGGTTAGCACGGATCTCTAATCCTCATTAGTGCTCTCAATTCGCAGCCATGCTGACCGATCGAATCGAGAGGCGTTTTGCGCACCTCAGACGGCGTCTCACAGCGTCTTCGGTGCTGCCTGCAGGTTGCGGACGAGTACAGCCCCTTCTCGCAGGTTGGCGATGTACTTCGCAGCCAGGGGCTCTCGACGCATGACTCTCTGTGCTTGCAGGCTGTCTGCCAACAGCTCCCATCCGAAAGCAGCTGTGTAGTCTGCTGGGCTTTTGCCAGGCGATCGACGCAGATTCCGATGGAGACTGGGACCTCGTAGTGGGAGGCTTGCTACTGGAGCAGCTGTCTGACGGCACTCTGAAGTATCTGACCGGAAGCGACAGTGCGTTTCCCAGTCAGTGGCCTGGGCCCTCGGATGGGCCTCCGTGCCTTGCGTACGGCGACTTGGACATGGATGGGGTCCTGGACCTGGTGGTGGGCTTCCGAGATGCTGGGCCATTCAGTAAATTTTATCCTTGCCCTTGAAGCGCTTATGGCGGCCATAGGCGCGCCTGAACTGTCGTGATCTAGGACGGGAGGCTGGATCTCGGGCTCGGCAAAGTCGGCGAGGATTTCAAGGCTCAGGAGGGACTCGCGAACCCTGTGGGTGATCTTGGGCTGGGTATGGCCCGCAAGACGCCGGGCGTCGTGGATTGGAACGGGGACGGCAAGGCCGACCTCCTCGTCTCGGCGGACGGCATGCGGCTCTTTCTGCGTGAAGCAGACGGGTCTTTGAAGGAGACCGCGACCAAGCTCCCTTCTCTTGAGGGACGCTCCCCGTTGTCGATCGTGACTGCAGATTGGACGATGGATGGAGATGACGACGTCCTGCTTATCGAGAAGCAAGCCTTGGTACTTCTAGAGCGGAACGGCTCAGAAGGCTTTCTGCCAGCCTTTGAGGTGTTACACTGGTCGCTTCGTGATGGGTTACACACCGTCACGGGAGGAACCGTGGCAGATTGGGATGAAGACGGACTGTTCGACATCCTCGTCGGCCTCGAATCCGGTAGGCTGCAGCACTGGCGCCAGTGTGCTTCCGGGCAGATGCAACTGGTACCGGAGGCCAGGTCCTGCTAGGGCATTCAGAAGCAGCCGCCTTGCCGTTACTCCAGTGATCTCCAGTGTTGGGCTACTCTTTTTATTAGAAGTTGCTGTTGCATCGCACTCTGCGGACGTGTGAGGACGAGAGCCCCTTTGCGGGGATTGTTGGGGAAGGCTCAGCCCAACCTGCGATGGCAGATGTCAACGGAGACGGAAAGCTGGAGCCTTGTCAAAGACTCTTCAGAACTTTGTTCGTTGTGGGGAAGGGAGCGACACTAACCTTCGTCATCAAGTCCTCGTTCTTGACACTTCTAGTTCGGCTTACGAGACGTCTGAGCCCGAGGACTTGATTCTGGGATCATCTGGCAGGCTACAGATCTACCTTCAAGACGAAGGAGGCAAACTGAACCGAAGGCACGGCTCTAAAGCTTGAAAAAATATTCGGTGGCTTTCGCTTGTGGTGCTGCTCTTGAAAGGCACGTGCTGGATGGCTTCAGAGGGGATGTTGTTCCAGTGGCAGCCGATTGGAATGGCGACGCCGGGCTTGCTCAACACTGTTTTGCTGTTCTGCTGGTTGCTGGAACTTGCTGTGACCTGGACTCATGACACTTTGTGACTTGTGACAGCTAGGACGGCGACAGCGAGATCATTCTGGGCACGTCTTCGAACGACCTGGTGTATCTGGATCAGGGCCCGTGTGCTCCAAGAGACGCCTGCTTAGGACAGTCCGGGCTTTGCAACTCCAAGAGCCAGGTTTGCGACTGCCTACCAGGCCGGCTGCGGAAGACGCTGTGCTTGTGATCGCTTGGCATTGTGTTTGCGTAGCTTCTACAGTTTCTTCGTATGCTGTTGAAGACTTCCACAAGCTACTGTTGTGCAACCAGACGCTGCTGCGACAGTCTTTTGTTGGTGGCAATGAGATGCAATGAGGGGTAGGGCGCCATCGTCCACCACGTACATGACGCGTAGCACCATTTGAGCTCTTGAGCACTGATGATGCCTGCAAGAATGTTTCGTACAACGTGTCATAATGTGTCCTGGTTAAGCCAAGCTCGCGACCTTAGATCAAGAAAGCGTGTGCCTTGCTCCTGTGCGAGAGGGCCTGCGGCAGTCAAAAGATTTTTCAGAAGTTGTATTGCGTGCAGGCCACAGTGGCATCGACTGTTCCAAGTGTGCCACGGGCTTCAGTTCTACGCCCAGGAACTCCGAGCGGGGCCACGATTGCTACCCGTGCCCAGGAAATTCAGACGCCTGCAGTCACAGAGGAGTCTGCGTGGACGACCACTACGTGCAGGCTGCGGCTGCGGGGCGAAGGGAGATCTCGGATCCACGGCTTCTTCGTGGAAATGGAAGCTGCATCTGTCATCCCAACTACTTCGGAAAGGCTTGGTTGCACAGCGCCTAATTCCTCCCCAAGATTCTTCGTTACTTGCATAGTTATTTCATAATTTCACAGTAACTTACTAGACTATGGCTATGTCACAGCAGCCCAAAAGCCGGAAACTGGGCTTCTGCGGATCCCGCCCGTCTCCTTCAGGACTGTGCGCAGGGCGAGTGCCCTGCTGGCCAGGAGCCCGCGGCAGACCTGGCGTCCGGGTCGATCCCTCAGCTAGCCTCGGACGCTTGCATGTAGCTGTATCTAATATGTGTATATGTGTATATATATATATATTACACACATGATGTGCAGGTGTGTGTGTGTGTATGTACAGACATGCACATACAGACATGCGTGCATGCAGTCATACATGCATGGGCACAGACAAAGGCACACCCGGACAGACCGACTGCGTCGCAGAGACTGGGACAGACATACATGCATACACACATACATGCATACACACATACCATACATATGTATGGTGTTTGTGTTTATTGTGGGATAGGTTTATTATTATTTGTATCCAAAAAATGTAGGCTTGTTTTTTGTATGTAGCTATGCATGGATGCACGTAGGCATGTATGTCTATGTGCGAGCACCTGTATGCACGTGTATGTATGTCATTGCATGCGTGTGTGTGTGTGTGTCTGTTTGTATGTGTGCATGTCTATCTGTCCGTCTGGCCGTCCGTCCGTCTGGCCGTCCGTCTGCCTGCCTGCCTGCCTGCCTGTGCCTGCCTGCCTGCCTGCCTGCCTGCACGGATAATGTATGTATTATGTATGCATGTGTGTAATGTAATGTAATGTAATAGTAATGCAATAGTAATGTAATAGTAATGTAATAGTAATGTAATAGTAATGTAATAGTAATATAATAGTAATGTAATGGTAATAGTAATGTAATAGTAATGTAATAGTAATGTAATAGTAATGTAATAGTAATGTAATAGCAATGTAGTAGTAATGTAGTAGTAATGTAATGTCATGTCATGTATGTGTGTATGTGTGTACGCATGTGTGTATACCTACCTACCTACCTACCTGCCTGCCTGCCTGCCTGCCTGCCTGCCTGCCTGCCTACCTACCTACCTACCGAACCGACCGACCTACCGACCTACCGACCTACGGACCTACCGACCTACCGACCTACCGACCTACCGACCTACCGACCTACCGACCTACCGACCTACCGACCTATCTATCTATCTACCTATCTACCTATCTGCCTACCTATCTGCCTACCTACCTACCTGCCTGCCTGCCTACCTACCTAAAAGTATACAGCTACACATCTATGTGTATATGGATATGAACGATAGAATAGAATCAAGTGGGTACGCACATGTAAAGAATGCAATCATATGTCATCACTGGGACCTACGAGGTCCATCCGGTGCCGCACGTGCCAGCAGGGGTTTGGCAAGGACAGCTTCGGGTTTGGGGGCGCAGACGAGCACATTTAGGCTAGAGGCCCACGCCTTCGCCAAGATGGGTGCATCGGTTGAGCGAGTGAAGTACGGCAGCACACCAACTCTCTCCCTCACGCGCTCACATTCCTTGGTTCCGGTGCGGCAGCTGGTTTTCGTTGTGCTACTCTCTGTGATGTGCTAGCTTTGGGAGCTCATGCGAGTGCCAGTCAGGAGCAGTCCGGCAACCACGAGTGCGCTGCGTGCCAGCCAGGGACTGCTGCATTCGCTGGCGATGGTTCCTGTTTGCCCTGCGGCGCCGGCGAGTATCAGCCCAGAGTCGGCCAGAGCGAGTGCATCCTTTGCTCTTCGGGATCCGAAACAGACGAGGGCCGAACTGCCTGCAGCCCCTGTCCCTCGGGCACGGTCGGCGTGTTGGGCACGTGCCAACTGTGCCCATCCTTCACAACAGCTGGCAGCAGCCGGACTCAGTGTGTCATGGACTGGGTGCTACTGATGGCAGCTTTGTTGTTTACACTGCTTACGCTTGTGTTCTTCCAGCTGGTCGTGTACATTCCGGGTGCCCGGCGGAATATTGCGGACATAACTTGGTCTGCAGTGGACGATGCAGTCATAGTCACGATGCAAAGCCGGCACCACTTCGGTTCGAGGTTGCTCAAGGTTCGCCTCTATGACACAGGAATCCCTTTCCTTGACCCTTGCCAGAAGACGCCTTACTTCTTCGTCCGTGCCCTCTCTCCCACACATCTGCAGCTCTATACCGAGCCCAAGATCGCGCTGACGACGCCGGTAGAAGCGTCTTCCGGCACACTGAAGCCCTTGCTGATGTCCGAAGCCTTGGGAACTCGATTTTTTGGCATCCCAGTCTTGTTTTGGCTGGGCATGGCGGCCTTGGCAATTATCATCCTCGCTAGCCTCGCACCTATCCCTTGGTGGTATTTGCTGCTGACCGCGGGCCTTGCTTTGGCCTCGGTCCTTTCCTTGCGGCTGCGGGCCGCGCGCTTGGACGCCCTGACGCCGCTGCAGCGTCTCCTCCGACAGCGCCTCGCCCGGGCTCGCAGCGGGGGGGGGGGGGGGGGGGCAGTCCTAGTGACTTGTTTTTCTGTTCCTTTTCAACGGCCGCCCCGACGCCGAAGCGCCGCCCGCTTTCCCTGCATGCGCCTGTCTTTGAGTCAGGTATGCTTTGCACCTGCGAGCGGCGACTTCACCGGCCAGCTGCGAGCCCGGAGGCCTGCGTGCCGTGAGCATCGCGCGGATCCTGCACTTCCATGAGCCTCTCGGAGTGCAACGGAGCAGACTCATTTGGGAGCCCTCTTTCCTGTTCGCAACTCCTCCGAGGTTCTTCAGATCGCTCATTCAGCACAGGACCATTTCCCAACATGTATGATGTGCAGCACGCGAATGCATACTAAAGGTTTAACTGCTGTAAGATAACATGAAACAAGCGCGGTGTTGCAGGAACATGCACTATGTTTGTCCCGTGCTCAGTGTTCCGCGAGTGACTAAAGGATCCCTGTCGGAGGGAACCCCTCAAACCGATGCAGGCACCAGCATCATCAAGCCGGTCACAAAGAAGTCGCAACTCTCCTTTGCTGAACTTGCTGGGCCTGGAATCTCGGAGAATTCAGAGCTCAGTTGATCAGTCCGAAGCAACTGACATCGTGTCTATGCCGTGCCAAGTAGTGAAAGTCTGAAGAACCTGTGCCAGGAACGGTGGATTGGTTCATCTCGCACTTCTGGGCGCTCCCCTTCCAGGACTTTGCCCAAAGCCTCCGCGCGCACGCTATGTACGTCGGCAGGGACTGGGAAGCGATCAAGTACTGGATGCTTGGAGCGAAAACTGGCGACCGGTTTGATGGGTTCTGTAATTCGCATCTGGGGCGTTTGTGCCATAGTCTTTTAGGCCATCTGCTGAAGCTCGTCAGACCTGCTATAAGGATCTGTTCCTTCAGTCAGAATCAGTGGCGGCTTGAAGAAGAACTCTGTCCCGGCACTCTCAGAGAGTCTTCCTTCCATAAGGCCCTCATGGCCCCCAGCTGCCAGGACCGGCCCACTTTCACAGAAACGTTCTCATGCTTGTTTAGGGTGGCTCTGCTTTTTGCGACAGTCAGATATTCTCCCCCCTCCGCCTCTCAGGGTACCGGGATGATGATGGACTCAGAGCTCACTCCATTGAAGAGGTCGGCATACACGCGCAGAGTTGTCCGAACCGGGTCAGCACACCCCCTGCAGGATGCCCTGCAGGATGCCCCATTTGCTAGTGTGTTTTCCGAGCGCGCTTCGGAGGTCCTGGTGCCTCTTCGAGATGCTGCAAACCTTCAACTTACATGAGCGCGGCCTGAGCCAGCACCGCCTTGCGCCCTTCATGGGCCTGTTTTTGTACCTTGGATGGCAAGAAAACGGGGACTGTCCCAACACGAGAGGCCGAGAGGACCGCCAAAGTCATTGCTAGACTGATGCACATGTGACGATGGCTCGGAACACTGCAAACGAAACCTACTCCGACCTGAAGTTACACGGTTCCAGTACTCTTGAGGCTTATTTCATCTGAGAAACATGGGGGGGGGGGTGGGGACGACATTATGCGACATTACTCTTGCTTGCTAACTCTTTCGGGTTCGCTCAATCTCACCCTCCACCCGTGATCTTCGGAGGCTCAGCCCTGCTGGGGTGCTGAACGTGGGGCGCGGGAGCGTCGACATGGCAGTGCGAATTGGCAAGCAGCCTGGCCCAGTCTACGAGCCTCCTAACTCCTAGCATTCTCATGATGATGATGATGATGATGGTGATGGTGATGATGGTGATGGTGATGGTGATGGTGATGGTGATGATGCTGGTGAGCCAGTGTGCCCTCATGTGCCCGCCACCACGTTGATTTGTCAAGCACAATCTGTTGAACTCTCCGATCCATCAGCGTGCTTCTGTGTGTGTCTCTTCATATTAATGTCACGGTTGAGTTTTCGACTGTTCTTTTGTACCCAAGGCAGCTCGACAACTTGCGCTTAGAGGATGCTTCTGCTACAGAAGTGGCAGACAAGGCTGTCAGGGGACGTTCCGACACACAGCCGTCCGGTTTCCGGTTGGTGCGTTTACGAGAGAAGCCTTGCCGAACGGTACTCGTAGTGGAAATAGCTGTTTCGTATCTTTATATGGTTGCATGCTCTCGATCCCCTGTGTCCTCGCCAGCAGCGCATCGATGACGAGGTCCGGTCTGCACCAGGTGCGTGCGCTCTCAACAAAGAAAAGCAGTCATGTATAATGGCAAAGTGTATGCAACAAGCGGATGCGTGCCGCGCGGGCTGCTCGATCTGCGAAGGTGGTTTTGCCGCCTTCAACTGCAAGCTGCGTGCGGAACTCCGCTTGGTCTTGGAGCAGATGTCCTCGCGGTTTTCTGACGATTTGAGCGAGCTCAACTCGCAGCTCTACGAAGGGGATTCGCAGGACCCCTGATACAGGTACTGCCGGCTGTTGCGGGTAGGGCCAGAAGAGTGGGTTGCAGTAGCCCCTGTCATCGAAAAGGATTCTGGGCTTAGACGTGCCTTCTCGTTACCGTGAGGAGGTGGAGATCCACCTGGCGACAGATCCGGCCCCCGAGCACGAAAATAAGTACTGCTCCTGGACGGGGTAGGAGCGCTCCTTGGGCGGTGTCCACTGCCGGAAGCACTACCCTCTTTGCATGCCAATGATGAAGTGGCTTGCAGAGGTCAAGCCCATGTGCCACATGCCAAACGACCTAGAGCACAAAGCTCCGACAACGCAACGATCTCGTTCTGATAGGCTGGTGATGTGGGTGTCGGGTTCTGCGGGGATGGTTGAAGGATGCAGCAAGCTTGCTACAGCACATCAACAGCCCAGTTCAATCCATTGACAAATTCGATGCCTCTCTGCAGTGCTCTCAGCCTGCAGCGTTTACGGTCGGCGCCACACGGCGCTGTATTGCAACCTAATGCAACCTGCAGCCAATGCATTATGTGTCGAAAACACCGCGGAGATGCCCGATTGGTCATGTATTCTGCTTGGGTTCATTGCAGATTGGGAGTAAAGGCTCACGCATGCTCACGCTTAAAGTGGCCCCTCGTGGCTGGCAAATCTGTCGGTGTCCGGAGGTTGCCTGCTTGTCCATGTTTTCGAAGCCGAGCCTTCCTCGCATTTCACTGGCAGGTCGCTACAACGGCTGTTACAACGGGCAGATCGTCGAAGAAGCGATAGAGGCTCGCGACGCCGTGCTTGTCCGTCCGTTTTGATTTCATGGCCACGTCTGTCAACATGACCCATGTGCCAGGCACCGGCCGGATTCACCAGGACGGACTGGCGGGGACGTCCACGACTGGGGGGGGGGGGATGAAGGCTGTGACTGCAGCTCCGACTTGCAGGACGGCAGCCGAGGCGGGACTCTCAGCTTAGCTGTGAGCCATAGCCATCCACGGCCGGCCCCCCTCATGATCTGCCATGTGAAGCTCCTGTCCCAGAGTGGCGGGGCTGTGTATGTGCAGCCGTCTCGAGACGGGATCCAGGCCAGCGACGATCCCACTAGGCCGGATCGAGAAGCCAGCATACAGCTCGCAGCTCAGCCGTCGAAGCACCTCAATGACCAACATCCTGATCGCTTGTGCTGCGGTGTCATCGGCAAGATGTGACTGACACAAAGTACCTCGCAAAATTGCAAAGAGAAGCACGTTGATGGTCCGTGTCAGTCTTGGAGAAGCCTCTGTGGAGATCCGTGCTCAATCTGGAACGAGCATTTCGCATCGAATCCGATCTTGTGAGCTCCGGACCTTTCAAAGCGGCGTCCTGAGGCTCTCGGCCGTGGCTTCCATGACCTCGGCGGACACACAGAACACCGGTGCCACGGGCGTTGCTCCGGAGACTGCGCTCCTGCAGGTGCCCCGTGCCACACTGCATGCTTTTGCAGCCCTGCTCTTCAGGGCCCCAAGTAGGGAGACGTACGGAGCATCACGAGCTGTAGCAAGAACCAGGGCATTGAGCTTGAATCAACACCTTGCCCCGGCCACACCTCGAAGCTGACGGAAGTATGGATGGTTCTCAAGGAGCTAGGCCCAGCTAGGCTTGTGGAAGTGGAGGGGTTTTCAGTGGACCCCGTTAAAGCCCATCAGAGGGTAGCTTGCATCCTTTCGGTGTGAAGACGAGTTTCCTGCAGGTGAAGCTCGATGGGGCAGAAGAACCTGTGACCCGGCCGCATTCTGGAGGCGGGAAAGATTCTCGTGCCTCATCCGCGCGCTGAGGTCGAGATTGCATCTTACCTGGTGATGAGCGTGATCGACAAGAGCAGCATGTGATACCGGCCGCAAACTGCGCGACTTCACGCCGAAGTGGGGAAGACGGAACCGGGCAGAAAGCTGGAGCTGCTCACGCTTCTAGCTTCGTTGACAGAGACAGAATCTGCCTTCCAGTTTTTCGGCCTGCACCTACTTGGGGCTCCACCCTCTCCAAGAGACCGTGGAGCCTCCAACTCTTTGCGTGCATGCACATTCCCAGTAGCTCGATGCAGCCCCGACAAGACGGGCCGTGGCCACAAGGGCCGCCTCAGAGGACCGAGGCCGAAAAGCGGCCGCGACGGGATGCCGGGCGCGGCCAGAAGCGAAGCGAAGCCAAGGCATCCCAGGCACTGCAGCTAATTCCGCACCTCAAGGGTCGGAGAATTCAAGCCTCGTGAAGCTCCTCAGCGGGATGGCAGATCACTCGATCCCGCCAATCTCTAGTCAGTCGCATTCCGTGGGCGAGGAGATTGTAAATACTTGGCTGCATGTTTGAACGGGAGTGGCTCGGTCAGTTCCTTACGATTACCAGGTATCTCACCGTCAGAATGCTGAATTACCCAGATTACTCGAATCGGCCGACATGACTTGCAATTGATACCGAGACTCTCGACAAAGCTAGGTGTCGATTTCTCTTTTGAAGCCTGTATTGCCTTTATGCATCGGAAGCCAGATCTGTTTGGCACGAACATCATGGGTTGGTTGCTGGGGCCGTGGGCATCCCAGAGTCCTTGTTGAACGCGAGGATCCCCTCTGCAAAGGAGCGCGCATCCATGCAGGCTGCTTAACACGACTCGCAAGATTTTGGGGCTCCTAGTGAAATTCCCTTCCCACAGCCTGCGGACTGGCATGCGGCTGCGGCGTCAGGCCGGCGAAGTGCAGGACGGAGCGTCTACCCTTGCCCGGTCAGCATGGGCTCGGGGGCGAGCGCAAAGCACCGCCGGGTAGGCCACATCGACTCGTCGGACTGAAACACCAAACGCATGCATATATTCACGACGACCATCGGTGGCTTTTTGGGCCGGGTGTACATGACGAAGGGTTTGTCGCAGAAACGACTGCGCAGCTGTGCCAGGTGTCTGAAGCACCTGCAATTGCCTGCAGCTGTTGTAGCGCATACCTGAAGGCCTGGACGCGGACGCTCAACTTTGCGTCTTATGTCGACAATGGCTTGACCAGAATATTGCTAAGGTGGCATGCCCCTGTTTTTGTTCCACAAAATTCGTCCTGCACTACCCCCGATCAGATCACTTCCGGGGTCCAAAAAAGTTAAGATCTCGCCCCACGGCCGTGGTTGAATGCCTATGGAAGTTCAGGCACACGAAGTTGCCAAGGCCTTCTTCGGCTGCGATGACGATGATGCATGGCAGGGCCTGCCTTTGATGAGCCTGCCAAAGCTCGGGCCGATTTGGATCTCTCGCTAAGCCAATCTGCCAGCCAGTTCGCTCTTTTCTCCGACATCCCTGGCGTGTAGGAGGAGTACTCGGTCTCCATACCCAGCCACTCCACCCGGCATCCCCCCCGAGTCTTCGCCCATTTGAAGGGATATCCCAGCATGGAGAGGAAGAGACAACGCAATGGTATCCCCCGTCTTCCTTTTGCGCCTATCCCCAGGGTCTCGAGGTCGTCGGCATGCAAGAGTAGCTCCAGGGGTACTTCGGGCCCACCAGATGGTGGGTAGCCCGCATCCCACATACGGCTATCCTGGTCCACCAGTAGCTCGCAGGGTCGCCCGGGATCGTCTCCGTCTCGTCGATCTGGCAGCCCATGAAGCCGTGCTCGCTAGCGTTGAGCTTTGGAGATATCCCCAACAACGGAGAAGGCCTCTAGCTCGCGAAGGATCTGCTTCTTCTCCCCAGCCCCCGGCGCCCGGATCTTATCCCGGCGCTTGATCCGGTTGTTCACCTTGACGCCATGGGTCGCATAGTGGATTATCCGCTTTTTATCCTTCTCCTCGTCCTCGACAATGACGGCCAGAGCAGCAATCACCCTGTTCTCGCCAAATCTAGCCTTGAACTCTCCCAGAATCACTCTCTCCATGAGGCCCTCCTCAACGTCCTCCTCGAACTTAGCCCGAGCAAACTCCTTCGCCGATCGAGGAGTAGTTAGGAACCCATGCTAGCCCTGGCTCCCAAGCAGAGGCAGCCCCTCTTCTGCTGAGATCTCCAGCGAGCTCAAGGATCGCCCGGAGCACAATATCCCGAGTTCGCTCCTGTCCTGGCCTTCTACCCACGTACTCAGCAGCTCGAGGATCTCCTCGTGCAGGGCGCTATCCCTAACCAGGTTGCATCCCTTCTCGCCGTCCTTCGCCTTGCACTGTATAATGATGTTCTGTTTTAAGCTGCAATCCTGAATTCAACGCGTGCTCCAGCATGCATGCATGAATTTTTCGTAGTAGATCCGCTTGCACGGCTGCTACAAATCATACATTCGCTTCTGGTACGCTCTAGCCTTCATAACTATTGACTCCACCAGTCACTTACAGCCAACCGCCAACACTGATTGTGTCTCACGCTCTCTTCTCACTCCGCAACAGGGTTCTGGGTCTGCCTGCACTTGCCAGGCATCCGGGCCTCCAATCTGAGCAGAGCCAGCTTTAGCCAGCATCTTCTCGCGAAGCCTTGCCCTTAGCCATTTCCAAGAAGGGTCATCTGCGTACCACCTCTTCCCTATCCGAAGAGGGTGCCTTCCGCGCGGTCTTGGGGCTCCACCCTCTGAAGCGTGTCGCTTGAGGAAGCAGTCTTAATCTTTGCGCAGGTCACGCATTGCAAGCTGCGAGGGTCCGTTGTGACCGGTTGGGAAATCGGCCGGTGAAATCTGCTGAAGTCCCCGACCTTGCGTGCAAGGTGTACGACGAGACATGCAAATTAGTTGTTTTTTTGCATATTTTTGCATCAGCAGGTTTTCAAAATTGCATGGTTGAGGGACAGAGTCGGCGTGTCCGACGGCTGCCCATGGCCTTTGGGCCTGGTTTTGAAACTCTTACACGTTCGTACCCGGACGGAACCTCCGAAACATCCAAAACCCAGAACTTGATCTCGTTTGCTGGCCTGGAACTTGTTTTGCGAGTAGCCCAAGCCTTGGTGATGGAAGCAGAATGCGCACTTGCTCGCCCGACTGTCTCAAGATGACAGCAACAGCTAAACTTAAACAGTAGCAGGAAGCTCAAGAGCAGCTTGGTCACAGCAATGTCATGCAGTGAGCTTGGAAGACTCGATGACGTTGGTGATGGAGTTGGGCAGGGGAAACCACCAATGCCCGATATCAAACGAAGGCATCGGGCCTGGATAGATTTGCGCCACCTGGTAATGATCCACATGCCATGTGGCTGCCTGCGATTGCCAGCCTCCTGGTCTGCGTTCTAGGCCGTCGAGAGCTTATAAGTTCACATGTTGAACCCCGTCCTTGACAGCTGTTGGCAGGGGCTTTCCTGGCATACGGACCTTATCAAGATGATCGAACATGGAACCTTGTGCGCAACACGGTCTCCCTCGAGCGCGTGGGCATGCGAGCGCCGGGGCCTTGCTGAATCGATGAGTGAGCCAACCATCGGCGTGGGGGTCCTGCAATGAAGTGTGGCCGCTATGTTGGCATCCCGGGTTTGCATGCAAATTTGATCTGGTGTGCGGGTAAGAGATGTTCCGGCTGCTCCGAAGTTAACTTCACCTGTTGTTGATGGCTATAGGCGAAGTGCTTATAGCACTTCTTGGCCTCGAGCAAGGTTGGAGCAGAGCCACTTCCGTCTTTACGGACTGCGGACCGGCACGGGCCAGCGGACGCAGGCCGAAGTGGGGGTGTAGTGCAGGGTGGTGTGGCCGCCCCACGCCAGACTGAAGCGGCCTGCACTCTGCCGTGCCTATGCAGGCGAACTCGGACGGACAAGTTCTATTCGTGCCCGGTCACGGTGGGCACGGGAGCCAAGCACCTCTGGATGGTTGGGTCGAGGGTCAAAAGAGAAAGAATGACCGCATGATTCAAGCTGCAATCCAGTACTCGTGCATTAGTCACTGTTTAACAGGGCTGGGCGGGTGTTGTTGCAGAAGAAACTGGCCCACTGGCATGAAAGACTATTGCAAAACAGCTCCTGCTTTGAGCTGGTGCATCGCTTCCGCGAGGGCTTGGACGCAGACGATCAACCTGGCGTCGTATGTTGCCAAGCAACAGTGGCTTGCCCTGAATCTCCACTTGCATGTGAATCATCATCAACCCGATTCCGTTGAGCTTTCAGGTCTGACATCCGTTTTTTCGCCCTGGACTTCCATGCGCTGCTCGGCCAGTGGAAAACAAGGCGGCAGAGAGCGGACCAGAAGCGCCGCCGTAGCCGAGGTCAGCTTCTGCCCTTCACTGGTCCGTGGTTGAGGCACAGGCAGACTTCACTGTTGCTGCCACGGGCCTAGCCTCGCAAGGCCACGGTTCCGAAGTGCCCTAGCGTTGTGTATCCGTGCAAGGCGGTCATCGAACTAGCAAAGCCCCAAAGAGGCCGGGTGGAGAGCATCTCCTCACATCTCTGCCTTGCTTCCTCTCTCCATCTCCACATACCCTTTTGATCCCTTTTGTCTCTCGTGCCTTTTCTTTGTCCGCCGCGTCTTCACAATATACCATATAAGAAGTCTAAGAAGTCTTATCAGTCATATTAATCATATGTGTACCTATGCACACATACATGTACAAAGATACACACCTACACTACATACACATACACATACACATACACATACACATACACATATACATATACATATACACATACACATACACATACACATACATACATCTATCTCGGGCAGGGCTTCGACATTAGTAATTTTGCCCAGTTTTGCTGCAAGGACCACTTGTGCTGCTGTGCCACTCGATGGGTGGCCTTGTCGCACTGGAGTCTCTCCGTTTGCTTGGGGACAGAAGGCCTGGGTCGCTGCTTGCTTCTTGGTAGCCGCAGTGAGGCGAGTAAGCCCCCAGAAGACTTGGCTCCCAGGTATTCAAGGTCCACATGCCATGTGATATGTAATGTGCACGCTGTTCATATTATTGTACAAGACAGTCCTCCAGGAGCTTGGTGGCCGGCGTGGTCCTTGTCTCTGCACCAACTGCAGAGCACCCCTTGCTCCTCGAGGCCCAAGCTTTTAACTTAAACCAGACACCTCAAACATCCAGCAGGTAATGCGCAGGAAAACGCTAGGGTCTGGAGAGGGAACCGCCGAGGTCTAGCCAAGACTCGAGGTCTTTTTTGCATGCTAACATCCGGAACGGCCTGTCGTAGTGTCTTTCTGACAAGGCCCGCTTTGCTTATCGGGCAGCCGCTGCACGCGAGGAGGCCGAAGGAGCGGTTTCTCACGCGAATGGGAGCGGGGGAGGAGAGCATCTCAGGCGTGGACCTTCCAATCACCTCCGATCGTCTCGATCTCAGGCGCTTCTGATCTTTGGCAATTTGTGGCATGTGAAAGTTCGTGTGGCAGTGGATAAGCGGTAGGCGGTGCCACAGACGCGCTTGTGCCCATGACCGCCACCATACTGCCACAGAGGCAAGTGCCTGTAATCTGAGATCCATAGGCCATAGGCGCTGAGTCCGGCACAGTGTACAAAGCATTGGACGGCGGCTGCCGCCAGGCCTCAAGCTGCAACGTTGCTGCTTCCAGCGGCTCGAAACTTGGCTTGTTTGTTGTAGCTCGAAATGCATCATTGCATCCACGGCCAAAGCCTGGCACAGTGGGGCCTAAATCGTGATTGTCGCCTTTGCCTTTGCTTTTATGACAGCACATTGACATGTGGTGACATGCTACAAGTTGCTTTCCGGGCTCTCCTCTCTCTCTCTATCTGTGTGTGGATGTGCAGTTATGTGTGTTGTCCTGTGCAACAGAGCCGTTTATGTTGCACCAAGGAGACGTGTACTCCTCATTCAGTCATGTGAACGTGCTGTTCTCGCGACATAGTTTCTTGGATGGCACCAGCAGTGCGGTTTGCTCTAGACTGCAGTTCGCTTTGCTCTGCCAGATTGCAAGCGGAATTCGTCAGCTCGTCGTCCCACCTGAGGCCTCCACGCTCTCTCGGCCCTCCTTCGTGGAGCCCTGGCAGGGCGGCTGCTCCGCACGGCAGAGTCGCTTCGGAGCCCTTTGTGGAAGCCCCAGAGATCTATTGTGTGGATCTTCTTTGAACGGTCACGCTTGTAGTTGCGTCCGTGGCAGCGGTAGTGTTGTTTTTGACTTGCTGTTGTTGCCACCGCGAGTACGACCTGTACGGCTGTCTTCGTGAGCAGTGGCCGTGGCAGCGGCATGAAGGCGAGTAGCAGTCACGATTGTCAAGGTCTGGTCTGTTGCAACCGACCCAACTCGTGGCGGCTCCGTCGCCGTGGAGCGCACAGAGGTTGATGGCACAGGCGAGATAACAGAAGTTGTAGTGCACCACAGGAAGGGTCACTACTGCCTTCTTCTCGCAATTCTGGGTGCTTTCGTGCATGCGAATAAAACTGCAGGTAAGAGCAACAAGAAAGATTGCAACAACGGTGTCAGCACTCAGCAACGCCAACAGTCATAGTCACAGTGATGGTCGCAGTCATGGTGGGACTGGCAACAAGAGCAGACAAGAGCGAAGGCGATTGTCGTTGATGTTGTTGATGATGACGATGATACTGTAGCGGTCACGAGTGTGATTTGTGACTGACTGGCGTACGCGTATGCCTTGGATGATTGTTGCGTTTCATGCCAAATTTGTCTCACTCGAAGCTTGACTGCTCAAGACATGCTTCGTGCAACGTCCAGCAAAAGGCCGCTAGTAAGACGGGTCGCCCTAGATCTCCAGCTTTTCTCTGCATTGCTTTTACCATCGCCTTGCTTGCTGGGTATACGATTGTTTGCGCCCTGCTTTGCGACCGAGAGGTAAGTGGATTCCTCTGCTTTTCACAAAGAGTAACCACTCCAGTAGCGGAGCGGAAGCAACACGAGATGCAGCAAAAAGTCGATGCTGACCGCCACCGCCAGCAGAGCACCAGCGCCGGCAGCAGCAGCAACGACGGAACTGGCTGGTCGCCTGTCGACAGACGAGACGACGCTGACACTTGCATGCGGAAACCAAAATGCTACACTTTCAAATTGTCTTACCTGTCCGAAGCCGACCGACTGTCTTGCTCGTAAAGGGCTCTGGCCGTGAGGCTGAGGAAAAATCTGTTTAGATCGCAAGAGCGACGCCTGTGTGCGCCCATGAGCCTGCGCTCCATAACGAAAGGTTTTTCGAAGAAGGTCCGACGTCAGTGAGACCATATGTATGTTTCCGGATTTGAGATTCGGAGAGAGGGCGGAAGCAGCAAATGACAGCAGTGGCAATACAATAGCAATTAGACTATCAACAACAAAGCTGCCTGCTCCGTCAAGCAGCAACCGATGAATAGGGACGAACAACTTATACGAAACCTGACAGTAGTAGGGTTAAGATCATCTATGCACGTTATGAAGGTCGGCAGCGTTGATGCTCCGGTTCGGATGCAGCAGGCTGTGTTCGTGCACTAACATAGGCAGCAGGGATGCTTTGAGGTCTAAGGCTTGCACTCCCAAGGCAAGCCACTAAAGTATTTCGGAAAAAATATCAACAACTACGACCCCAACTGCAACGGCAAGCCCAACCACAAAGACAACCGCAAGTTACTACAACAGCTGCAGCCAGCCACAGCCATGGGTCCATCAAGAACCACAACACCAGCAGCAGCAACCACGACAACTACACATTCGACTAAGCTTGCAACAACTGCACTGTAAGGCTAGGGACAGCCCCAACACTAACACTGGCAGCAACAAGAAGACCGAACAGGCAAAACAACAGTCAGCAAGAGCCCCAACAAGACAGCGGGAAGAACGATCACAGCCCAAGCATGCCAACGACATCAGCATCAACAAGCACAAACACCTGCGATACAGTAACGGTAACAGCGACAACAGGATGTCGCCATCAGCAGTCATCATCAATCATCGTCATCATCATCGCCAATACCATCACCATCATCATCATATCATCATCATCATCATCATCACCATCATGATCATCATCACCACCATCATCATCATCGTCATCATCAGTAACAGCATTGAATCGTAGTACGCTTGGCATCGCTTGGCCGGAGGACTGTGAGACAAAAGCATGTCACCGAAATGCATGGCTATTGCAATCTGCCTCCGAAGTCTGGGTAGGCGCACCTGCTAAAGCAGCAGCTGCCGAAAGCGTTTTGTCAGGTGTCAGACTCAACTTGGACAACCTTGGCATCGGATGTCGCCTTCTCACAGCTTCCAGAGCAGAAGGCTTTCGCACTGCAAGGTTGCAGTCGTGTGCATGTGCTTGCGTGTACTTCAACAATGCCGTCGTAGGCGTGCCATTTGCCATTCAGGCGCATGCCATCACCCTGCTTCACGAGCTGGGGGCTTGTCGGATCACCCTCATCAGCGCGTCTCTCATACTGAAGCGCCCTAGGCTGGAGGCCGGGGTGCTTCATCTTCTACCGGCTCCTGAATCCGGAGGCGCAGAATGAAGCTTTGCATAAGAGCTGGTGAGATTCTGGCAGCGAGTACCACCTCCAGCGCTCTGGTGTCCCGTTCCCCCTTCAGCAGGATAGCTGTGCTGTCGAGTTGAGCACAGGAACCCTGACCCTGATGCTTCTTGAGGACAGCTGCGGTGATCATGTTCTGCCAGTGAGATGTGCAGTTGTGATTGCTAGCAGCCGGAGCATGCTCTGCATCGCAACGATGGAGATACCATGGTGCTAGGACTTCTCAGTCCACCACTAATCCCTTTGGCATGGTCTTTAGCAGAGGAGCTGCGCCCCATCAAGCGCACCCCAGAGCCGACGACAAGAGGAGAGGCAGGCGGCCGCTCATGCGCCAATCTGTTGACTCTTAGCATATCGTACCATGCTCGGTGGAAAGCTGAGGGGCTGAACTGGCTGGGGAAAGCAGGGCTTTCGGCACGACTGAGACCAATTCCTGGCAGAACTTCGATCCCAAAGATGTCCTGGATTGCAGTGCCGCCTTGGCGAGAAGCTCAGTTGCTCTGCTTAGGTGGCGCAATGAAGCGCTTCTTGCAAAAGCTTCGGAAGCACTTGACTCACTTGACGTCAAGCCCGAGCATTCTGGGAGTTTCAGGAGGTAGGGGAACCCGAAAAAAAGAGGGACCTTCTCATTATCAGGACCCCCAACATGCCCATTCCGACTCTGGCAGTCTGCCGTGGTGACCAGCGGCGGTCGGGATGACTCGGTCCAGGGCTCGGCTGAGACTTTCTGGGCTGTTTCTGTCTGGAAGTTTTACTGCCCTGCAATCTCGGTTGAACCTCGTGCTACAGTCGGTGTATCTACTGGATCATGGGCTTTGCTGCGGCAGTGAGCAGTGCTCGTGACTTTTGGCTCAGCAACTTCGTGAAGCTATGCGTGGTTCAGGTGGCCTCTTTGCTTGCCGGGTCCGCCTGGATGGGTGCAGCGCCCGTGAAGCTGCAATATCCCAGCAAGGCGTGGGCAGTCCATGGCAGTCCAAAGCCGCGGAGCTTTTGCAGCAGGCCATGAGTTCGCGAGGCCTGCTTCTACCAGATCCCGTCTCCTTCCTCTGCGCAGGTGGGCTTGTTTTTCTGGTCCAGGGGAGTCCAGGGACGTGTCGATGCAGTTGCCCGGTCAGCGGGGCCTGGCTGCCATCATGGTGTCCGGCCCTGAGACTCCCAGAGAAAGCCGATTTCTCCGAGTCGATGCGTGCATCGAGGAACGCCCAGAGGTCTGGCTCGGGTCGTCGCATCGGCTGGGCCTTCCGCCCAGTCATAGAGCCAAAGCTTTTCGCAACGTCTGCTTGGCCCACGGTCTCAGGTGCAATGGCAGCTTGGCGCAGCGGCATCTTGCACCAAAATAGCAGGGTAGGTGTCCTCAGGTCGGATCAAAAATCAGGATCGAAACGATAGTCTAAGGCACAGGATCTGCAATGCAACCGCGCTGGTGAAAATCTCCCCGTCTTGCCATTGCCTCGGGACGTGCGACAAGTCCTTTGCATCTTCCAGCGGCTACTGCAAGTTTCCCCGGCCAACCGAGGTCCTGGTTGGCCTCTGTCGCGTGGCCCGTGAGGTGCAGGCTGCCAGCAGGCCCGCAAGGGCTCAATCTTTCGGCCGGAGCTTCAGACGTGCGCTGCACAGGCCGAGGGCTCCTCACCCGGGTGGTTGGCACTCGGTCTTTCGGAGATTGCTCTTTTGTACGTCGTGTCACGAGACCACCATAATTTGAGGGCTTGTCCTCATCCTGGCGGATGCTGCCTTTCTTGCCGCTGGACGTGCGGTTGGTGCAGGCGCGATCTTTGAAAGGCCCTCTCGCAGACTCACAGAGAGAACCGGCAGGAGGAAGCTTCCGGGGCCACGGCGGCCACGTGGAGGGGGCCTCAGCCGGAAAGAGAGCGGGAGTGAGAGACGTGTCCAGAGAAACGGCGCGGGGCGGGCCCCCCCCCCGCCCGAGGCGCCCTCCTGTCTTGCTGCTCCTCACGGCCGACAACCACACGAGGACCCCGCAAATTAGTGCCCCCAAAGCGCAGAAATTTTTCGGACTTTCTGCTTTGAGGATGGCGGCGCTGCCTTTCCCGAGGGAGCCGAGGCCGGAGTCCACAAAAAGCGGTCATCAAACTTCCTTGAGCTGAAAGAGGGGAGGGAACGAGCTTGCAGTGCTGGAAGGGGCAAGGTCGGTGGGAGAGCGCATCCCGCTTCCCGTAGCGCCGGCCAGGCAGCTTTGGTTTCAAGGCTGGGCGGCAGAGTCGCCGCCTGCATGCAACAGGTTTTGTACATTTCAGGCACTGCAGCCATGAAACTTAGATTATGCGCAATGATTACTTTCTGCTGTTTCGCTGCTGAAGGTGCTAGATTTTATGCCGGGCGTGGGGCAGAAGATGCTGGTAAGTATTCAGCATGAGGATGATCTGATACAGCATGCCAGGGCCTGCCAGCAAATGGTATGATGATACAGCGTACAAAGAGGTCGATGATGGTGGTATGACTGTGGTGGTGATGATGATGATGATGACCATGGTGGTGCCCTCGTAGCCTCGACGCAGGGTTCGACATCACATTGCGTGAATGTGTGTGCCTCTTGTGCAGTGCAGCCCATTTTTGCAATTTTAGTGATTTTGGCCGAAGCGGCCTTTTGCGTGCTGCCAAGCAGCCGGAGATTGTGCCCGGCCCAGACTTGAGCTCCTTCACCGAGAGCGTCTTCGAGAAGGCGCGGTTGGATGGACTCAAGTCCGAAGGCTTCCGAGCAGTGTCCGATTGCGCCTTTGCCCAGCGAGATCCCGTGGCCCCGCTTCGCTGCAGCGCCCGTACATTCCGAAGATGCCTCTTCGAGCGACTCTTCAGATTGCAGTACCTCTCACCAGAACCTTCAGATTTGGTTGGGTCCCGCATCAATGCCTGGGAAGCTGGAAAACCTTGGAATCAATCGCTCCGACATTTCCTCGGCAGCAAACTGTGAGAGCTACAGATCATGCGTAAGACTGAGTGACTACATGCGACTTCGTTCGGCAGACCCGCAGAGACACTTGGTGCAGATTTGCATAGCTTTTTAGTCTGGGCTTTGCGGCGTTGCGTGTCGGCCGCAGACCGTTGCTTGCGCAGGACCGGATCTCTCTTTCGGCAGCCTGCTACACGTGGGTGATGGATGCAATGCGCTGTGTTTGATTTGTAGTGTCTCGGCAAATAAACATCATGCCATGCTGCTGGATGCCTGCTCACGAAAGCCGATCTCTTCAGTCAGTCGAACGGGAGATGTGTTGATTGTAGCAGTTGCTATGGCGCAAGGCTAGCATCGAGGAGTTGAGGTGTTGGACGCAGTCAAGTCCAGATGCTGACATTTGAGGTTACCACAAGCCACCGGCACGGTCCTGCAGGAACGGAGTCTTTTGCGACTTCTGTCACTTGCATGATGGGCGGCGGAACAGCCGGCGCCGGAGAAGGGAGGAGCCTCGCTGAAAATCTGGTTCCTGTGTTCCCATTGCATTCGGTTCAATTCCATTACTACTGGTGGAGTCTGAGGGAGTAGAGTCTGAGGGAGCTGTGAGTCTGCTGCAAGGCGACCGGGCCGGCGGCTGGTCGAATGAGTTGGGCCGACACAGAAGTCCCAGTGCTGGAGGCAATCTGCCTATGAAGGTCGATCTACCGAACTGTTTATGCAGTACTCTGGGGCAGCGTTCGCCAACAGCGGATGCCACCGACACGGCTGCTCCCTGACGGGGAACTAATGTACCTGAGCTTGTCAACTTGTCTCACGGGCTCATATAGCAATCATTCTCCACCATGTAATCCAGATCGAGTGGCTTCCAAGCAGCCTTTTCGGTCTGAGAGCCTCATGCTTCATTAGTTCTATAAGTCTTAAGGCTAGCATGTTATGGGTTCTGTACATAAATAAAAAAATGGAGCTGGGGAGAGGGGAGATGTTGGCATGCACGAAGCGCCAACGATCGCGGCTGACAGGTAATATGTTGTTCGCCATGTCATCATGCCGCTGGCTGATCGTGCGGTCGATGCGGTCCGGCGGCCTTTTCCTCTTCTACACCGTCGCATCGGGGTCATTTTGCGTGTCGACTTTCGGGTTGCCTGCGGAAGTGCAATGTAAGCAGAATCTTCAAGACTGGCAATTCCAGAGAGCAGCACCCGTAGCACCCGGACCTGGCACAGGCATGCATTTGATGCACATTTTGAGCATCAGAATCCTTAAGCCTTATGAGCTTCTTGCATTTCTTATTTCCCTGGCCCAGCTCGTGGATTTGGCAGCTCCTTCACCAGGACATGCGACCGCAAGTCCGGTGCAAGCGCTGCGCATGTCGTAGTATCCGAAGGCCTGAGAGCGAAGAATAGTGTTTGCAACCCTTTCAGCATCCCTCAGATCGAACTGTTTATCCACAAGCTCTGGGAGAAGGCTGAGGTCAATCCGTCGCCCACGGATGCATTTGCTCATAGCTAGCAGCATGCATGGCACTCTGCTCCTCGTACCTTGATCCGAACCGGGCCAAGAGTTCGAGCAGTGGGGGCATCTTTGAATTATGTTACATGATGTCAGCAAGGGCTATGCTTTAGGCGACGCACCTTGGATCTTCATGGTCATGGATCTTCGGCGACATTCGCCTTCCTACATGCTCTCGGGCAGCAGGCTCAGGCGCCAAAAGGACTCAGACTCTCCAGCGCAGGGTCTGCTCGTGCATGTGCGCCCACCCGAAGTGGGGTTTGGTGCTTCGCAGTGCCGTTTCTGGTTGGCAGTCCGGGGTACAAAGGGGTGAGGGTGTGTATATAAGTATATAGTAAATATGTATAATAAATATGTGTAATATGGATGCTACCACCCCCCCCCCCACTAGAACTACCGCGAGGTGCGCGATAGCGCCACCAATGCTCCCACGTTTAAGCTTCTGGTGTATGATCCAGGTTGTAGCATTAGGTTTTGAAGTTCCGAGGAGACAGCATATGTATATCGGCAGAAGCCTTCATTCTGAATTCTTGCGACCCTTCAAGCAGATACTCCAAGAGAACATGTCTCCAATGTCTTTAGGAGAAACCCCGACCAATGGCCTCATCAGCAGGTTAACTAATCCATATGTAGCCGTGGGATCCGTGGCACGAGCATTCAAGTCCCCGATAGTTCGAAATCATGGCGCCCCTAATACTATTTACTGTTATGAATACAGGTAAGCTAAAGACTTGCCTAACATTTACTTCAACGGTAGCCGTTACATTCATGCAAACATGAAACTACACAGGAGCTACGATCCTTGCTGTCTTCGCTCTGGCGTGGCTCAAATGATGGCCCGTAGGTTTTTTAGGGATGATACCAGCCTTCGTTTGTGACTTGTTGGCAGACTTGCCAAATGCGTGTGTGTGTGTGTACATGTATCTGTATGTGCGTATATACACATGCTAACCCTGACGTTAAACCTGTACTAGATACCAGAAATGACGAGGATCGTTAATTGACTCCTGAGTCTAAACAACATCAGCCCTAACCCTAGGTATTCGCCCTGACAGCAGCCCTAAGGCCATCCTTAGCAGGCTTAGTGCCACCCATAATCAGACCTCGACGTTTCTCCGATTCAAGGTACAACTTTAGTCAGCTAGAAGAAATCGCACTGGTAGCTGTGATAACCCTGATATCCTGGGTCCTGGCCTGTATTAAACCTGCAGTACTAGCTCCCTATTTACACCAAAACTGATCCAATAATGTCCTGCTTATTACCTATTGTATAGTATTATTGCAAGCAAAATCGAATCCCAATAGTAGTGACACCCGACGAACCTTATTGGCAACATTAGTTCGTAACACGCGCAAACAACAAATGAAACACACTCTTTGCCAGGAAAAATTGGTCTTGCAGTGAAATACGAACCATCTCGAGGAAAAGATGGGTTTGGGTCGAACAACCAACCTTTCCCTAGGAAAAGATGGTTTTGGATCGCAACACCACTTTTCCTAGGGATACCTAAAAACGTTGTTTTTTGGGAAACTATACGGCCAGACTCCAAAAAAGATGTTTTGTGTTGTTTTTCCCACGAAAAAGTTGGTTTTCCTGCCCAAAGCCATCTGTTTTCCTAGGAAACCACCAAAATCCTACCAGCCCCAATCCAACTTCATTATAAGAAAAAGCTAGTGCTCAGTGCAAAAAAATATTTTTCGTAAAGCAATTTTTCCTAGGAAAAAATGGTTTTCCACAGAAAACAAACTTTTCCTAGGGAAAACAAAAAAGCAATCGTTTTGGAGTCTGGCCATATAGTTTCCCAAGATAGTTTTGTTTTTTGGGTTTTCCGTAGGAAAAAGTTGGTTTTTGATTGGAAGCGTACACTGTTGCCGTCAAGTGCGCGCTCACGTCGATCCTGAACGAGTTGTCCGGCGGTTGGTTTTCGAATGGAAGAGTACAATGTTGCCGTTGAGCCCGTGCTCACGTCGAACCTGAACGAGTTGACGGGCGCGTTCTCTTCAAATGTGAGTTTGGTTGTGGCAATCTTTGAGAGATACGGAATCCGGACCTGCCGGCAAAGCAGGTTTAACACGGTATTTACGATACAAACCGAGGGTCGCTAGTTCATGGGGGGGGGGGGGTTACCATATGAATATACAATATGTTCCGGAAACCTTAGGGGCTGCATGACACCAGCGCGCTGAGGAGTGAGGCCACGTTTGCACCGCGCCTGGTGGAGGTTGCCGAGGCTTCAAAGTCAGAAGTTTGCCTTGGTTGAAGTTAGGATCCCTTATTTGGACTTTTTTGGGGCAATTTGAGGTTTGTAGAGTTTAGGCTCTCAGGCTTTAGGGTTTGGGGTTTTGGGGTTTGGGGTTGGAGATTCATGTAGAACTAGATCTGATTGTGTTTGGGGTCCATGTTAGGGCGTGTTAGTGTCTGCATCCACCACAGCCCTTAGCAGAAGTGCACCCCTTTGAAGTGATCCCAGTAGGCGAATCTCGCGCCCTCTTGCATCGGCTCCTACGCAGTCGCGGCAATGGGGGGTTCATAAAAGAGGGGACCAGCTAGCAACTAGAAAGATCCTGGCTGCAATGGCCCACGAAAGGTGGACTGGTAAAGTCCAGAACCCCACAAAGAAGACCACGATTCGCTGCCAGGAGGGTCCTGCCTACGTCACTGTTGCTTGCCTCAGAAGTCTGAGGATGGCAGGTTTGCAGACTGACTAGTGTAAAAGGCCTGAATTCTTTCCCAAGCTCCAAACCTATCCCCAAACGGCCCTGAACGGGCCCAAGCCCAGCCAAGGTCATGGGTCACCCAGATGTGGAAATCACACTCGAGGCCGCCGTTTTGCGAAGTTTGGCTTGCCAAGTTGGCCCCAATTGGCAAAACAAGCGAATCGTCAGTGCGCTCGAGTTCTACCAAGATTTGGTTCAAAAACTCTGGCAAACGAGATTGTTTACGTACTCAGCAGGCTATGTGTAGACATTCCAGACGCAGCGGGAGTAAAGTGGTTGGAAAGCGCAGTCCACTGCATCGTCCTTATGTAGACAGCCCTCCGTTGTGGGATGATCTGGAAGCCTCCCGTCTAAATCTAGCCTGCTCGGAAGGTGATGCTCGTACATCAGCACTCTTGCTACTGTAATTTTGATAGATCCCCACATCCGAAAAGCCCCCATGGCCCAAACTCTACTAACTCCGGTGGCCCCATGTGAGGTGCAAGGAAATGCCTTTTCCGCTTTGGCCGAGATCTTCAGCTGCTCGGAAGCGAAAATCCAGGAACCGCTGGAACCGTGATGCATGCCGCCATGTTTGGTGGCCGCGAATGTAACAGTCGGCAGACAGAGCGTTTGAGGCAACTGGCTGCTACAGCCCATGCAGCAGCTAAGGACGTTTCTTGCGACCCCTGCTTGTCGCCTGGATCGGGGCCGCAACAGCGCTCACAGCCCGAAACTCGTTGAGCGACAGCGGGGATGTGCAGGTAGCCTTCGTCCTACGAGCGACAATCGTAACAACTTCAATCGCAGTAACACTGCCTGCCATTTTCGTACTGAAACAGCAAGGCAAGAAGAGAGTGCCGAGTGGTTGTAGTGATATTAGTCGTACGTGTTGTGGAGCGGTAGAGGTAGCAGCAGCAGCAGCAGTACCACCAACGGTAGCGCCAGCAGTCGAAGCAGCAGTCGCAAGTCGCAAGTCGCAAGTCGCAAGTCGCAGTCGCAGTCGCAGTCGCAGCAG